GACCTGTAACAAAATTACTCGCCCCTTTCCAAGGCCTCCAGCCTCTATTAGATACATACATATATATACATATATATAGGTATAGTTTTATTTGGAAGCGTATCTATCACCTTTTAATGTAGATCTTCATCAGACTCCCTCCCCCTTCACTTTTCCTCTATTTCCCCCCCATTGGTCAATTCCTACTACAAACCCTTCTCCCAATTTGGCTACCTGGCTTAAAGGTACGATTTTTATGGGCTTTTTGTTTCTTTTTTCATCTTATTGTCTTTAAGTTTTTTTTTTAATTGAATTTCATTGGTCCAAGACTCAATCTCTATATGGGTTTTTGCTAGAAATATGTTGGTTTCATCTGGGTTTTGCTTAATTAACATGTTTGTATGTTTACTTTCTTGTTTTTTAGTCTGCCATTTTTCGCTTGCCCTAATTTGGCAGTGTTCAGTTATGTTTTAAGCGTTTACATATTGATATAGTTTACTTTATACGTAGTTTGGGATATGAAAATTGTATATCCCGATGGAGAGATGGTTTAAGGTTTTTAAGTTGCTGGTAAATAGATATTGACAGGGCAGAGTCCGGAATGATCGTGTATTTGATTAAATTTAACTTTTGTTGAACGTTCCTTCGGTCATGTGTGTTTTTTTTTTTAAATTATTGAACATCCTTAGTGTTCGTTCGTAAGGAGGTAGATGACGTTGATTTAATTGGAACGAATTTTCACCTGTTGGTGTAAATGGAGGTCGTTTACTGGCTTATGCAGCTTTGTATTTTGGACTTCGATTCAGGTCATGGCTGGGAAAAGAGTGATAGCTATTTGCCAGTCAGGAGGTGAATTTGAGACGGATAAAGATGGTTTTCTATCTTATAAGGGTGGAGATGCTCATGCTATGGAAATTGATGATAAGATGAAGTATAAGGATTTCAAGACGGAGGTTGCAGAGATGTTTAATTCCAACCTTAATACAATGACTGTCAAATATTTTCTCCCAAGCAACAAGAAGACACTTATTACTATCTCCAATGATAAAGACCTTAAACGCATGATCAAGTTTCACGGCGATGCTGAGACTGCTGAGATTTTTGTAATGACTGAGGTCGTTGTTCCTGAAGCTTCGCACATGCCTGGCAGTAGGTAGTTCTCTTGCTGTCTAATAGTGTGTCAAGTGTCTGCCTTCTACGAATGAAACATTTGGGGACATTTTATTTTGCAGGTCAAGCAGGACAACTTTGTCAGAAGCGGGAGTTCCAGTTGATGCCCCTCCAAATGTCATGGAGGAAGATGTTGCTGATGATTCAAACCAGGCTGGTCTTTTACTTGATGCCAACTTTGATATTGTAGGTGATACCAACCATGGTGATGTTGATATTGATATTCCAGCTGAAATTGCTGCTCCTATAAATGCTGTTGGTTCCTATAATGAAAAGCATGCTAAAGCCACTGAAATGTGGCAAAACAACATTACTGGTGTTGGCCAACGGTTCAACAGTGTACATGAATTTCGTGAGGCATTGCGCAAATATGCTATTGCACATCAGTTTGCTTTCAAGTACAAGAAGAATGACAGTCATCGTGTGACAGTAAAATGCAAGGAAGAGGGCTGTCCGTGGAGAATTCATGCATCAAGGTTGTCAACAACCCAATTGATATGCATTAAGAAAATGAATCCAACGCATACGTGTGAAGGTGCTACTCTAAAGAATGGGTATCAGGCAACAAGAAGTTGGGTTGCAAGTATCATAAAGGAGAAGTTGAAAGCTTTCCCTAACTATAAGCCAAAGGACATTGTGCAAGACATCAAACAGGATTATGGAATTCAATTAAATTACTTTCAGGCCTGGCGTGGGAAAGAGATTGCCAAGGAACAAATTCAAGGCTCATATAAAGAGGCATATAGACAGTTACCATACTTCTGTGAAAAGATAATGGAGACAAATCCTGGTAGTCTCGCTACTTTCACTACCAAAGAAAATTCGAGTTTTCATCGGCTTTTCATAGCATTCCATGCATCATTATATGGCTTTGAACATGGATGTCGTCCTTTGCTTTTCCTTGATAGCTTACTTTTGCGCTCAAAATACCAAGGTACGTTTCTGGCAGCAACAGCTGCTGATGGCAATGATGATGTTTTCCCTGTTGCTTTTGCTGTGGTAGATTCAGAATCTGATGATAATTGGCGTTGGTTTTTGCTACAACTTAAAACTGCACTTTCAAGATGTCGTGATATGACTGCTGGAGTTGACAGAGAGGCAATTGCCATCAACACGTTGTCAGCAAGTCGCAGTATGACAATTGTGGCAGATAGAGAGAAAGGATTAAGAGAATCAATAGCTGAAGTTTTTAAGGATGATGAGATCTACCATGCTTATTGTCTGCGATATCTTTCTGAGCAACTAATTAGAGATTTGAAGGGTCAGTTTTCTCATGAAGTTAAGCGTCTGATGGTTGAAGACTTGTTTGCAACAGCTTATGCAACGAGGCCAGAAGGCTTCCAAAGGTGCATTGAGAGTATTAAAAGTATTTCAGTTGAAGCCTATAACTGGATCATGCAAAGTGAGCCTGAGCACTGGGCTAATGCATTTTTTCCTGGTGCAAGATATAACCATATGACATCAAACTTCGGAGAGCTCTTTTACAGTTGGGTGTCAGATGCCAATGAATTGCCAATAACACAGATGGTTGATGCAATAAGGGGAAAGATAATGGAGTTGATTTACACCCGGCGGACTGAATCCAATCAATGGATCACACGGTTAACCCCGTCTATGGAGGAAAAATTTGAAAAGGAAAGCCTTAAAGTTCGCCCCCATCAAGTATTAACAGCTTCTGGGAGCACATATGAGGTGCGTGGAGAGTCCATTGAACTTGTTGACATTGCGAACTGCAATTGTACATGTAAGGGATGGCAACTTTCTGGATTGCCTTGCTGCCATGCCTTGACTGTCATTGGTTGCTTGGGCCGAGATCCATATGATTATTGTGCTAGATACTTCACCACCAATAGTTACAGATTAACATATTCAGAGTCCTTAAATCCTATTCCAAGTATAGAAAGGCCTGGGAGAAAGGATAGTTCTCAGGGTGCTGTAACTGTAACCCCTCCTCCAACTCGTCGCCCTCCTGGCAGACCTACCACTAAGAAAAATGCTTCACAGGAGTCTATGAAACGTCAGCTCCAATGTAGTAGATGCAAGGGTACTGGGCACAATAAGTCAACATGCAAAGAGTTTGCATTGGAGTTCTAGACTATGTAAGTACTAACGATATGACGTCCTCTCAGTACAGTATTATCTTTTATCTGTTTGCGTGTTGACATCTTAAACCATAGGACAATTAGCCAAATAAATTAGTCAATTATTTGGACCGTAGTACAGATTCCCCCATATCATTTTCTAGTGTTTTAAATCTGTATTGCATAGGGGTGCAGCCTATGTTATTGCTACTATGCAGCATATTTTCTAGTGTTAAATTAAGCTTCTTGTTGCTTTCTTTTTTGCAAGTGGTTTTGATCATGTATGCTGGGGAGGGTTGCCTGGGTGATGGAATAACATTTTTTGGTTTTAGTTTCAGTGCATTGGCATGACAACTTGCTGTTAACAGTGCCAGTCGAATTGAATCTGTTTGCTTTCTGTTTTCAGGATTTTTGGACAAATGGAACTGTTGTGCCATCAAACACATCGATAGTTGCTGACGTACCTTCTAGGCAGTTTTCTTTTCTTCATTTTTTTTATCATTTTCTTTTATTTGGTTCTTCTAACTTTAGATATTTTTTAGCCTTAATAAGTTAGATTAGATGTTTAGAATCATTAGACAGCTTTCTTAACTGAGATCAGCTCACCTTGTGGTGTAAATATCAGTTGCGCAGTTCACTTGTTTCATGTCAAAAGCTTCCTCTGGATGTGTCTTTTGTGGATTCTCTTGGTAGTGTACCAAGAGATTAGGGATGGTAGTACATTCCCATTGGCAATACCAAGAGATTAGGGATGGTAGTACATTCCCATTGGTGAGATGTGGATCTGTACTACTAGCAATTAGCAATTTTATTCATTTTTTTTTCCTTTTAGCATGAAAGGTCCCGCTACTTTATTTAGTACTCCCCTTTTAAGCTGGAGGAACTGGAACCCAATTGAAGTCTTTTGCTGCTGTATCACCATGGGAGAATATACTGTTGCAGATTTTACAGGGGGCAGTAACACAGCTAATTGGATGATAGCCTTTGGATCGTGTGCCTTTGCATTGTGGTGGGCAGGTTAACTGGTTAACATTTCAGAAAGTTGTGATCCTAAAAAAAATTCCACCCTTAGAAGGCTATCAATGGAAAGATATATCAAATTAGATCAGAAAGCTTTAGGTAATGGTACTAGAGGTTCCTTGGTTTTTTGTTTTTTAATCCTTTTCATATTTAAGTCCCAGGCTCTCATGGAAAAGATAGACGGTGGATCTTGTAGTCGGAGTTTTCCTTTCAAGGAGGTTGTGGATAGTGAGAATTAGTTTTAGGCAAAATTGTACAGGGAAATTGCTGAACATGCTTGAATGTGGTCCAATTTAGTGTAAATGTCCCTTTCGTTTCTAGTATCAAGGTTGACGCAACTGCTAAAATATGCAAGTCTCAAACAATAAGTACACTTATCTTTCCGCAGAAAAAGTCGTACAACCAGTACAACCAAAGTTTCCTGTTTTCCATCCTCGGAAGTTTTTGTCATTTTATTTTTCTTTTTGGGTATTTTAATCCTTCAAAGCATGATATGGCATTCCCCCACCATTTAGCGCCTCTCTTACCTGCTCCTCCCCTTTCAGCCTGCTTCTCGAGAACCCCCAAGTGATTTGAGTTTTACTTTACACCAATCTCCAAGGCAAAACTGGCTTCGTTGGAGTTTGGAATGAATTGTGGACACACTTGATAAATGCGCCATTTTCTTGAGCCAGGTGGGTCTTTTAGGATTGGATATCAGAAGCCGTTATTACATGCGACACCAGAATTGTTAATAGGTGACCAACTTCGACAGAACACTTTTTCAATAATGTTTATTAGCTTTGTAAACCTTGTGTTGCTGCTACAATCATTGTGTATCTTCAAAGCTCCAACAATTTGGTGGTAGTACATCTTTGAGGGGAAGTACAGCATTATTAGGCCCTTAGCTCCCACCATTCTAGTAGTACTAACATTTGTACTGCGACTATTGCTTTTTCCTTGTATTTAAGTCAGCCGTTCTGTTCTGCCAATTCGTGTCCATCAGGGCAGACATTTCGAAACCATCTTTTTCGAGCAAAGAGTTAGAATTCTTGGTAGAATGCTTTTCTCATTCTTCATCATATTTAAACGGGACATCAATTTCTAACTCAAACATGCTTTCTCCACCCTAACCCTCATATGCTTTCTGCCAATTCTCTCTTCCCTATGCTCATTCCACCAATCATGGAGATGGGCAATTACGGCTGCAGTCAGGTATTCATTAGCACATCATGGGGTGCTAATCATCTGCATAATTCGGCTACAAGGTAAAAAAGATTGGTAAGGACAGACGGGGACGAGGCAGAGCATGAAAAGGGTGCATTTCAACACCCTCTGGTTATTTTGATTTTTGGTGTTGACGGCCTTTCCGTGCACTGCCTCTTCCCTGGCTGTCCTGTCATCTTATCATCACCTTTGGCATCTCAATATCATTTGAATTTTTCTTTCAAGTAATTGATGGATTTAGTTTGGCACGTTCATCACTCATTCAAAAGGTTTATTATTATTAGCAAAACAAGGGACTTATTCCTCTCACATCCCAATTCTACAGTTCTAGTGCTCCTCTCCTCCATCTCAATTTTTGTCCTTTACCCATAATTTGATTAGTTGAATCACGATAAGTTCGATAACACACGATGTATGTTTGGCTGTTTGCCAACAAAAGTTTGCTCAACTCAATTGGTAAGATCATACTACTTCCTAAATAAAGGTCATATATCCGAATGCTGCTGCCGTCGATACGAGGACCGTATTAATGAGTGAGTGAATTGTAAAAGACTCTGTAAATAATCTAAAGTCCAGGAGAATACTCTAACTCGTGGTGATGAACGAACCCGAAGTTATATGCCATTGACTTCGCTGCCAATTTTGTTCTACATGGGATTAGTGTTTCTTTTGTTATTTCTAACTATGTGCTTGTGCCCGTTAATTTTGCCCCCATTTTGGTGTCACTTCATAACCCAAATAGCACAGAGGAAGATTCCGTTCTTCTAGTGTGTAAAATTTGTTTCTTCCTTTTTTAACTCCTTTAGGTTAAATATCATTACTTTAGTATCATAAAATTCTAAACCATTGTGCTTTCTGTCTTCTTTCACTGCCATTTAATTTTCCTTGGTTCTACCACTGAAGAGGTGATTTCTGGTTTGACAAGCTATGCCGAATTGCCGAAGTGCTCTCCTAAGTGAAGTGTAACCGCACAAAAGTCATCTGTTCAAATTATAAGAGACGGGACTGTATTCCCCGGGTTTCTTCCGACGATCTAGTTAGCTTGGATAAGAGAGGGTTGAAGAAGTTTTTGAAAGTAATTCTTACGGAATATTTTGCCTGTTTGTTTCTGAGTGAGGGTCCTGGTATTTATATGAGATAATTTGGAGGGAAGGATATTGGGCTCCAATTTTCTAGGATCTGATTGAGACTGAGCATGTCAGCTTGATTTGATAGGTCTGTGCAGTGGATAGGTCTCAGCAGATGTCCTATCCGTCCTGCAGGTGTCAGGTCTTTGACAGGATCTTGGTTGTCATGCCAGGCACGGCGCCAATCCAAGATAACAGTATCCGTATGCGGTGTGTGGCCATGGTGACCAGAACGGATGGGGGTCGCCCTAAGTGGTGACGGGATTGGCTCGATCAGATGGCCATTATAAATAACTAGTGGCAGGAAAAAAAAAAAAGGGGCCGAGCCAGGATGACCATCCCCAACCGCCTTCAGGTTAAAATTCATTTTCTTTAGTATCATAAAATTCAGAACTATTGTGGTCTCTGTCTTCTTTCACTATCATTTTAGTTTCCCTCAACTCAAACGATTATTTCAATTTGTGGCACAACTTCTGAACTTCATGGATTGAGTTCGGATTTGAAACTAACATCATTTGATCTAGATAAGATTGTAACCTGGAGATGTTTTTGTTTTCTTCTTTATTCTCTTTGTGTGAACCAAAATTAATCACTATATTTAATGAGGAACAAGGTATAGCATTTCTTTTGCTTATTTTCCTAATGTACTCAAGGCCGGTTGCTTCTATGTAATTTCCCACTGGATTAGGATCCTAAATGTCTAGAGATTATTATTCAAAACTAGAATTTTAGGATTTTGGTTGGTATTAAATGGACAACAAATGTCATATTGTAATTCAAAAGGTGCTTGTATGCATAATTTAGACCCAGATAGATGTACTTCAATAATCTTGGGAGGGTAACTCCCTTCAAATCGTGCAAATAAAATGTGAAAACGAAGCCTGGACATGGTTCTTGCTTTTGCTAATGCATGCGCACATCTGTTTTGTCTCTCAGAAGTTATGGTAGAAATGTGCTTGGTGAAATGTAGTCAACAGCTCCTGCAATCATTTAAGATGGGAGAAAGCTCATGAGTAGATGTATAAATATTTTTGAAAGGAAGTGACCTGTGTGGAATCTAGTTCCACTTCCACAAAAGAAATGTTAGAAGTCTGCTTGCTGACTCCAAGCCATCCCTTATTGCCCGGTGAGGGAACCTCAGCCGACTCCTCGGCTGAACCTGCGTTCTCCCAAACTCGACATCACCAGATGATTCCCCCAAGGTCAACCAACTTCCTGATTAGATAGTTGGGACAGACCTTGGGAAGGAATGGACGAGGGACAGGAACGGCTGCAGTTTCTGAAAGTTCATGGCCAAGATTTGGCAAAAAAAAAAAAGATTCAGATTTTATCTTGCGTCTCGTTTTGCACATCATGTGTGAGACCCACAAAATTTTGTTTTATAGTTACACGTTGTTGAAAGTGAATTATGCCGTGTGAGACAGAACAGAGTTACACAATTTTGTGCCCCGAACGATTTTCTTGATAATCGTTCCGGCCCATTGTCCAGAAAGAATGCTCTGTTGATTTGATTAATGTGACTTGCACCGTCTGACATTGTAGTGTGATAGGCTTCGAACTGACATGGCGAACTACTTCTAACAGTGAGGTCAGCCTACTGACCCGATTTTCCATGATTCTCGCTCTCGTCGAAGGAGGTAAGTGCTACTGCTTCCGCCTCTCTGAACACCTCAACCTCGTCATTTTTACTGACTTAGGCATCGAGGGGATAGCCTCGCTCTGTGATCTTGTGTAATGTTGCAGGTCTCGGCCCAAGTTATATATCTACAACCCAAACCTCGTTCGCACACCCAGCATTCAGTTAGTGGGACTGAGCGGGAGCCCAAGTTCCTAGAGAATCCAAAAACCCATTGACCAGAAGAGTGTCGGATTATTCCTCCTGCTCCAGCATGGTCAGATAGTCCAGCAGCAGAACCATCTCTGTTGAGCTAAGACCAATTTCAAACCAGGTCCCAATAAGTGATGCTCGGAGGCCCGGTGCAAATTATCTAAACTCTTTAAAAGCCCATTCAAAAAAATATTAGAAATAAATTTTTTATTATTATGAAAATTTTATACAAAATTCTTTCATATAAAAAATTAATTTTTTTCTAAAATTGCACGTACATCGAGTGCACCCTCAACACTATTTTTCTATAAACAGGGGATTTGACTAGCCATATCAATATAGGATTAAACTTCTATTTCCATCTACTCAATATTGGATTAAAACTTCTTTTCCAAACAAAATATATGTGTGTACATTGGATTAGATCTTCCATACGCAATACGGATTAGTAAGAAATAAACTAGCTATTAATATTATATCTTACTTGTTATCAAAAAATACATACATACATACATACATACATATATATATATATATATATATATATATATATATATATTACATATGATACCTTACTTCAAGTTAATTAGGAAATGGAGGTCCACACTCCACACCAACCCAGCGTCGTACATCGAGTTAAGCTTGCACTATTTAGCCCCATTAGTTTGAGCCAAGCCTAATTGCGAACTCCAAAGGTTTCACTTGCAAAAGAGGAATTGATTTTTGAAAGCCCAAATCACGAGGAATTGATTAGAAAATAGTTCAACACGTTCTTCGCGCGTCACGTTAAATGAATTTTTTCGTCATTCACTTTTAAAATAATAAATTTACATCGCTCATAAATTTAAATTATCAAAACTTAGTCCTAACTTAAGTTTTCAATCACATTTTAACTTGAAATCGCTACATAATCTACATGTAGTCTTTTTTTATGTACAAAAATATCATATTTCACTTCTTTAATGGCAAAAATAAATACGGATTGGATCATATTTCACTTTTTTAGAAAAAAAAAAAAAGAATATGATTGGAGTCAAATTCTACTTTTTTTAAGACTAAAAATGAATATAGATTGAGTTATTTGTTTAATTATAAATAAAATCTAACCTTTTTTTCAGTTAAACAAATGACCGTGGAGTCATGTGATGGATTTAGAGTAAAAACTAATAAAAAATTTATATTAAAACTAAGTTTTACTGATTTGATTGTCTAAGAGATGTAAATTTACTATTTTAAAAAATGGAGGACCAAACATTGAATGATTTTCCATTGACCAACAACTAAGAATGTGGGCAAGGTAAACCGCTAGCGAGTAGGTCAAAAGTTTGGCTCGAACTAGAACTACTCATTTCACGTAACGAATCGAGTTCGAATATCAGCAGTAACTACTAGACGAGGTTAATCAAGTATTTATATTATTTTAATTATGGAATGAATATTATGAGTTTATATTTTAATAAATTTACATGAAATAATGTTCAGTAAAAAAGTGATGGATGATAAAATGGTAATTTGATAATCTAAAATATAAAAAATTAAAAACAAGAAAAGAAAAACTTGAGCTCGAACTTGAATAGTTGGATCTTGATAAGGCTTGCATTTTAATGAAGTTCAAATGAATCAAAGTTTGAGCTAACCACGTTTGGATTGCATTTTCTATGATTTTTCATGAAAAAATTACTATAACGATTTGTTGTATGTGAGAAAAAAATATAATAGAAAAATGTGATCACGAAAAATGACGCAATTTTTTGACAAAAAATGACAATCCAAACAGGGTTATATGTCGAGTCGTATTCGAATTAAAATTTAGCACGAGTTCGAGCCAAATAAGTGTGATAATGATCGAGTTCAAGGTGGAACATGATACTACTCCCAAGTACCAACGGCGCCACTGTTTCCCGGTAAAGCAGCAAAAAATTGGAGGACGTTTGCAAAATCCAATAAAGCTATGCGGAACGACACCGTCTACCAGGTCAAACACTACGCCTATCCCTCCCAATTCTGTTTCTTCTTCTTCCTCGCGCTCCTTCACAAACCCTACTTCGCAAGCCCCAAACAAAGAATCCCCACTGTTTCTCGCACACCAAGCTAGAACATAACCCTTTTTTTTGGGTTTCTTTTCCTTCAAATGTTGTATTGATTTGATTTTGATCGAATGAAATCAACGATGTTAGTCAAACCGGACCCATCTTCTTCTTCTGCCTCCTCCACCGCCCCAACCACCTGCGGAAACTGCGGCGTCCAGGAGCGCCGCCTCCTCCACCACGTCCGCCACCGCGGGATCTTCCGCCGTCTCTGCACTACCTGCGTCCTCCGTCTCCACCCTCAATCCTTCTGCCCTACTTGCTTCGCGGTCTATCATCCTTCCCCGCCTCCATCCGGCCCAAACGACGCCGTCACCTGCTTTAAATGTTACTCCTCTTCTCACATTCATTGCGTGGGGCCCAATTACCCGAACCCTTACGTTTGTCCTAATTGTGTGAACCCTAATTCGCCGATCTTTACGCTGAAGAAAGCAAAAGATTTGGGAATTGAGGGCTCGGAGGCTGCCAATGGGAATAATGGGGAGTATAGGGTTATTGATAAGAAGGCTGCTAAGGTTTTGTTGGCTGCGGCGAGGATTGCCGCCGTTTCGATGAGTAAAGCTGCCGTAGCCGCTAGAGCAGAGGCGGAGAGGCGGGCAAAAGAGGCAGCGTTTACGAGGAAACGTGCTAGGGAGGCGTTGGAGCATGTCGCTTATTTAGTTGCAAAGGAGAAATTGAAGAAAAAAGAGTCTGCCGCTGCAGCTACGGCTGTGGAGGTATTAGGGGTTGCCGGGCGTAGCAGCGGTGTTAAAGTGACTAATGTTAGTGGAAATAACGTCAATAGCAATGTCAGTAGTGTTAATGTAGGCGTGGTGGGAGTAGGGAGGGAAGGGAGAAGGGCTGGTAATGTGGAGAGAGTGGATGGGTCTAATGATGTTTTAGCGGCCTTGAATGCGGTGGAATTGAGAGAAGGAGAGAAAAATGGAGACGTGAAGGTGGACAATGTGATTGATGTTGTGCCAATGGACGTTGAGGAGAATGGGACAGTGCAATTGACTGCTAAGAAATCTGGAAATATAGATCATGTGAAGGATCCCAATGGAGTAATGGAGAACGTTAGTAATGGGGACGCTGTAGTTTTGCCTGCGGAGGATCAGGTGCGGCATGCGGAAAAGAGTCTGTCTTTGCAACAGAATCATAACTGACTAGGACATTAGTTCATGATGTCCAGAGACTTGTGCCAATAATTTGAGAAGTCTGAGGTGGGATTCTATGATCTCATGCTGTCCTTTTATAATGAAGTTTTGTCTTGTAGCTTCTCTTTGCTTATCATCATAATGTCGAATTTCAGGTTTCTGGAATGTGTAAAGCCTAGTTCAGGAACTTTTGATGGAATGTAACACGGGAATAGAGTTTGTAAGATCAAGTAGAACTGTGTTGGCACATAGCATAATCTGTAGGTTGAGCCTAGTTCTTTGTAGGGAATTTTAGAGCTTATTATGCAGTAAATCTTGTTATTTAAAGCTGGATTCTATAATTGGTTGCAGTGTATATACTGTGGTTGATGATTTTTCTCTTTCTGTTCTTCTGGTACAAATGCCTTTAGTAGCTTAAGTAGAAAAAATTTGTAGTCGCTTCCCTGTTTCAGATACGTGTTTTTAGTCCTGGTACTCGTGCACCTGGGTTTGTTTAAGGGAACTTATTTTGGTTTGTTAAAGGCTCTTATGGGCTAATCAAGAGCTTTCTATGCATAGCCTTGTGTAGCACTCAGGTTTTTTCAGTTTTTGGGAGCTCAGGTTTTAAGAGTCACACAACCTATCCCATGGATGGGTTAAGGCTTTGTAAAAGCATCTTATAAGCACAGCAGTGGCAGGATGCTAGGTTTTAACCATGCTTTTCATGGACATTAACTTGTGGTGGATGACGGGTTTTCAGAAATAGGACAGGTGGGTGTTGCCTCAGTTTAAGACTTCCAAGTTGGTGGTTGTTTCTCCAGTTGAATCAAACAAATTCTTCGGTTGGGTTTTTGCAGGTGCCTTTATTGATGTGTGTTGAATGAAAATTTCTTGAATTATCCATCTTCCATATTTTCTGGATTGAAGTCTCTGGAGTTTTTTTTTGGGAATAAGGGGGGCGGGGGGGAGGGGATGTAGTGGGTGGGGAAAGGAGAGGATGGTATTGTTGGCCTGTTGGTTGCATGGAAAATAAGACTTGAAAGACTGGAGCGGGATAGATACGTATTCTGCTCGCGACAGTTTTGGGACTTGGAAATGTGATTCTAGTATCGAGCTCTGCTTGTAAAAGTACTTGTGAAATCGTCATGAGTGTAAAATCATCAACATGCTAAAGCTTGGGCTTGGAGTCTCATTCTAACTAAGGATTCTTGTGATTCCAGAGAATCCAGCTACAGGAGAACCAGGAATGGAGAGCAGTAGCTACTAACCAGACAGATTTCTGTGTTCTCTTCATTCCAATCTTACAAAAGAGCAGGTATTCGGCAGCTACATTCAGAATTCAGCAAATATGATCGAGGAAGAAAAATAATCACAATGCAGAAATTAATAATCGGATAATTCATAATTGTAATGACTCGTAGACCATATCTCATTGGGATTGCCTCGAAGGGAAATATAACTGTCAATCTTCCACGCTTTAAAAATTACTACGATATTTTATTCACAGTATAACTTACTAGGAACATACGTTTATTGATTATAGGGTTTTGATACAGGTAATTCCTATTTCTCTTGAAAACCTGTAGCATTACCGTGTTTAGAACACAATCCGCAAAACTGATGCCTTTGTCATGCCTGAAACCATGCAAACACCTGCAGCCAGTCCTTTATCTTCCATTTGTAGACAATATTCTAGTTACCATGCCACCCTCTAGCTAGGGTCGAGCATTGAAGCGGATGCATCAGAATTTGCATGGACATTCCATGCGGAAATTTGGACACGGGAGAACATAAATACATTGCTCTGCTTTCAGAAGGGGGCATTACTCTTTAAGTTTCTGTTCATGGTATTTGGCCACTGAAAGCTCATGTTAGCAGCCTCGCAACCCCTTCAGAGCTACGGATGTTGCTTCCAGAGTCCTTCAGGGTTAATCAAATTGACAAACATTTCAAGACTTTCAGTAGGGCTGGATGACCGCCGACCAGGATAATTCCTTCCAAAAAATTTCCCAGAAAGTTTATGCACGGGATCATCATTTAAAGGCCATCTTCATGGCATTTCCGTCAGCATCAATCCCTCAATTTATGCACGACACTGAATTTCAATGAAGTTTGTCAAAATCAGATCCCTGAGAAAGATACCCTCCTGGTGGAAAAGGAGGGGGGGGGGACTGAGATTATCCAATAAACTTCGTCAAAGGCATGATATTAAAGTCAAAATCCATTCCCTCAACCCAAGTCAGTTCATCAAGACCATCATATACAACTAAAAAGTGGTTACTAGGAAGACAGTTCAAGCATCGTGATCCTGATGACTACTATGCTAGTCTGGATAAATATAACTATACCAAAATGATCAAGGTTATGTTTTGTCAGGAATAACTAAGTGACAGGAAGAATGAATTTATAGTTTTATGTTTTAAAATTTACTTCGAGAGGTAAAGTACGAGTCCATGCACAGGCATGAGAAGTCATCTGCTATTAGACTAGCTCTCAGACCATCCTCAACTATTCCCATCTTCTGTTAATCTAGTCAAACCAAAACTTTATAGATCAGTAAATGCATTTCCTACCACTAAAGAAATTAAAAACACAAAAAAAAAAAATTTTTAAAAATTTGGTGGAGTATGTACCAACATATTAAGTGCATGTAAGACTGTCAGAAGAACAATTTGTTAAGTACCCATGCCACGTGAAGCAAAGTTATGTGCTGTGTGAACATAGCATACCTTTTATAGCACTGAAGTCTGAGATGAAATCTACAAGTCTTACAGAGGCTTTCACAATCGCACTTAATGGAGACATTCAACAACGGCCAATGATAGTGTTGATATATGGAATCAGGTTATGTTTGAGCCAATGCATTTTCAAGTATGCTGCTAACCTCATCCTGCGGACCAAAATTTTCGCTCATATATGCTCTTACTTCTGATTCCTCTTTTACAACAGAACCAACCAGTAATTGATGAGTTTCAGTACTAGGAATCCAACCCTTCCCCAACATTACATCTAGCAAGCGACCAGCTGCACTCCTATATCCTTCTTTCAAAAGGCCCCTGATGAGCATGTTATAGGTACTGGAACCAAGAATATTAGAACAAGGGATAAGCTGATCCATAGCACTCAAAATCATGTGCATTTGAGAATGCTTGTCTAAACAAGACAGTGCAGTAGTTAGTGTTTCGGAGTTGGGTAATAAACCCTTGCTGAGCATCACATTGAAAAACCGAGCACAATGGTCTGGATTATCAGCTAGACTCATACTTTCTATGAGGATAAAATAAGTTTCTTCCTCAACAGGACAACCATCTACAATCATTCGTGATAATACCACTAAAAGGTCATCTGCCTTTTCTAACTTGGATAAAACTCGCATTATGCTGTAGTAAGCTACAGACGAGTACGATGTACCAGAACAATGAGCAAGAGATAGAAACCTGATTGCACTCTCGACTTCTCTTATTGCACAAAGCCCCTTAATGAACAAATCAAAAGAGGTTGACTGCAAAGCTACTTGCTTTCCTGACATATAACAATAAACTTCAGCAGCCTCTTGAATCTTTTCATTATAAGAAAGGCATCTAACAAGTTCAGCATAGGATACAGAATCCAAAACATCACACTTCTGCTGGACCTGATTGAACAACAGTATAGCATCATCAAGTTCATCCTGCTTGCATCTGCCAATGATAAGAGCGGAGTAAGTGATAGAGTCAGGAAGAAATGAAAAAACAATCATTCTACAAAGAACTTCCAAGGCTTTCTTGATATCGCCAATCTCACATAGGCACCGAATATAGAAATTCCAAGACAAGCTATCAGTTAAACTCCTCTCAAACATATCATCAAACAGATCTTTTGCTGCCGCAAGATTACCATAACTGCAATAAGCTCCAAGAAGTGCATTGTAAGGACAAGTTATATCAACATCATTATCTACTAAAAACTTCTTTGCTTCACTAAATTTACATAATGTACAAAATCCCTTCACAATATCCACATAGAGATCATCCTCTGGAGTTATTCCGCTGCCCACCATCTCTTCAAAAAGGTTGACAGCTTCATCCACATAAAGATTCTGGCATAAACATATTATCATAGCTCCATAAGTTGAAGAATCTGGAGAAATTTTTGAAGCTTTCATCTTCACAAGTAACATCATCCCTGCCTCACATTTATTAATCTGGCAAAGCAGCGGTACTATCCGAGTGTAAAAGCTCAAATCCACCTCACACCTAAGTTCAAAAATTTCATCTAAAAGAAGCAAAGATTCATCGATCCTTTCCCTGGCAATAAGTCCACTAATGAGAACCTCGAAGGTCCTACTATTAGGACTACACCCTTTCTTATTCATCCTTCTATATTGTTCCAAAGCTGTACCCACCCTATCATCCTCTAACAGCGCTTCCAACAAGTAATTCAAAGTCTCCACGTTGGGAACAATTCCTACTTTCACCATTTCTTTATACACAAATAATACATCCTTGAAATCCCTCTTTGCCACCAAAAGTGCACCCATTACTATATTAAAAACACTTACTGAAGGCTTAAAACTTCTTGAATTCATACAAGAAAGAACCCTCAAAGCCTCGTCAAGCCTATCATTTCTAACAAAACATTCAATCAATCCCAAGAAAGCTTCATCAAAACCAGGACATTTCTCCTTTAACATCTCATTACAAAATCCCTCCATTTCCTCAATATTTCCAGCCAAACCCAACTTCAAAATCATCAAATAATAAGTATCCACATTATGCTTAAACGTTTTCTGAAGTGAAGCCCATTTGAACAATTTCAACGAAGAATTTACATCAGTTGTGGAATCCAAGACATGGACCAAGATATCTGGATGAAGCTTATTCTTTAAAAATTGGATCTTTGACTCAAAATCAGCAGATTTTGACGGAGTATGATCAGTTTCTGAATTGATATGAACAACATTTGCACATGAAAGTGAAGAAAAAGAGGCATTTAAATTGACCCTTTTGGGAATTCTCTTTAAAAATGCTAAAGATGCAAGCTTTACAGCCATTGAAGTTCCATATGAAAGGTTTGCAGCAAAGAAAAGTAGTAAACAGCGGGAATGATCAAACTCTAACCTGGGATTTTCGCTTTTTAATGATTTGCCTGGGAATCGCTCCCTGTGGAAGAGGAAGAAGTAAAAACTAAAAATTGATTCAGGAAGTAATTTAACACCAAATAAGGAATGGGACACTGGGATTCCGTGATTGCCATTGCTCTCCTGTTTCTCGAGACATTAATTTCTCAACCGGCATTTTAACATTTTTAGTGCAACTTTTTTAGCATATAGTACAAGTTTCGAATTAGGGCTCAGGTTTTTCTCCCAAAAAAAAAAAAAAAGCTTATGCTTAGGTGACGTTTGTGCAAGAACATTTGGATGGATGGGCAGTTCATTAGTCAGTCGCTAACAAAAAGTTAAAAAGAGTAATTTGTTTTCTTCTCCTCCTTACATTTTTTCATTTTTCTTTTTCTTTTTCTCTTTCTCTTTCTATTGGGTGTTCTTTTTTTTTTTTTTCAAAACGATAATTATATAATTTATATTGGACCAGATGGATACATTATACACCCGTCTAAATTTTTTAACCATAGTACCTTAATGTATCAATTGGTGGGAGGCAAGATTCTCCTACCCTATCAAATTTTAATGATTTGGAGTGTTCAATCATAGATGAAAAATTTCGTCTTTGATGTTCAATGCTAGAAGCAGCTCTTAGTCTTAGATAAGTAGATATATGTCCAACCAATTTTTTCATAAAAAGAGAAATTAAGTGTGATGTAAATCATCAGTGGCCATAAAAAAGTGAATAAATCTCTCTTTGAACTGCAAGTCAGGGGTTCGAATCTCACCTACAATGAAAAAAATTTAAAAGAGATACTAGAACACTCATTTGATTTATTGAGTCTATATATCTGTTAGTTCCTTATACAGTCTCTTTATACTCTCTTCCTCCAGAACAATTTCTCTCTCTCTCTCTCTCTCTCTCTCTCTCTCTCTCTCTCTCTTCTCTTCTTTTTTTTAAAAAAAAAAAATAAAATTGTAAGCTGTCTCAAGAATTGGACTTCTACTCCGGAGCCGAGCACCTTAGCATCCTTCTCGTTGAACTCCAACCGATTTTTATTTTATCAAGCCAACTTTAATTCAAACTCAAGTAGCTTAACTCATTTATACGTGAATTTGGAATTTTATTTGTATCAAAAGTTCAAAACCCAATATGAAAATTTTATTCAATAACCAAATCTGGTATCATTTAAGTGACACACCAGTTGGCTTGGCTTGCATACCATCTCAATTTGTGCAACTAGGTAATGGGATATAGCCATACAATGCACAAAATGATTATGCACTATTAAGTAGTAGGACTCACACAAATCCCACTTCCCACTTTCCACTTTCCACCCCACCAGGCAATTTGATGGACCAAGCAACTCATGCTGCTTTCTTGCCTCCAATGGGTGAGACTTGAGAGTCAATACCCAAAGTCAGTGGACAAGTCATTAGTCCTGTACCATGTATGCCTGCCTCCTCCACTGCTTTTTTCCCTCCTCCTGTCAAGCCATAGGGGGTGTTAAACAGGAATTGAGTCCTAGTCTTTATGTTCCATCCCTTTTGACAATCAAGAAATTGACACACACGAGATTGGGTCACAAACAACAATTAGTATAGTTGGATGGTTTTCCCTCCATGGGAGGATTAGCAGTCGTTAGTAAAAAAAAAAAAAAAAAATCAAAGTCAGACTGCCGACTGATCTTCAATGGCAGCAGTATTCGCGGAAAGTAAACCAACCTCGCGTCAAACGTGCAACACGTCCAACAACCACAGACAATGCCCGTTGGCTGTCGCATGAATCTTCCTTCCTTCCTTCGAATTGGACGCGCAGAAAAGAGCATCATCTAGACAAGACAGTCGTTCATGATAATCGAGCTAGTACATTTTCAGATGTGAATTTAACATTGCAATGGATCATTACCAGGTTGGGGAGAGAAAAAGCATGGCCCCGTGTGGTTTTGGAGACGAAACCAAGAAAAGAATAACTAGGACGGCTCTCGTTAGCTGCAAGAAATTAGCAGAAACTGGAGAAAAAAATAATTTTGAATGTTGTGTACCTACGACCTAGCAGATGGCAATTTGCCAGAGAAAACTGCTGCGATTACTTAAACTGGCCTTTAAGCTTTACCTTAGTAAATGTGCTCAATCATGCAGAAAGACTTAATCTACCGCATGCCCCATGTTACTACACAAGATCATGTTTTGGATACCTAAGTGCATGTGCATGACTGAAGAATCCAATAGCAATTACAGCAAACAAGTGCCCGCCTGCATAAAAGAGCTCGCATTACGAGGTTATGTTGTCATCATAATCCCAGCTAAAGAAACAAAGTACACCACCACAAAGACTAGGCAAGAATGATCCAAAATCCCAGCTGAAGCCAGAAGATACAAATTACACAGCATGAAATCCCAGAGACTAGGAGAAGAATGATAAGCACAGGACCATGTCCACCAGACTACTTCTGTTTAAGTCATTAATCCAGAATCTAAACCAAACTAGCTGCATTTATCCGTCCCAAAGAGCAAGCCTTAACCTCAATGCAGACACGCTACACGGTTCAGATTTTGCCCTTTCACAAGAAAAGTGAACATGATACGTGGAAATTCCACGTACAACAATCACGAAAATTCCCAACTACTCCACAGAGGCAGCCAAAAATAATAATAATAATAATAATAATTCTAGTCTGAAGATTCAAAAACATTAAACCTTCTCACAGACATCACAAGAGCTAGTCATTGACAACTATGCCATGATTTATGTCATTACAATAGATACAAGTGAAGCAGGTTGCCATCAGAAGCTCGCACAATTTTTTCCCACTTGAGTGTACACATGCATCTAGAAGAAGGATCAACATAATAACAATGTTGGACCTGCTTTAAACATGCTTCAATATAGCTCAATTATACTATACATACAAGATATAACCAGCATACCACAAAATTTTCATTGATCCAATCCAGTTGCCGTATCTTTCATACTCTGCAAATTGCATATGCCTTGAACAATCTGCTGTCAGCTGCCTGTCATTCGTTCTGTAAATTCTGTTGTATGTAGATTTTTTACCTTTAATTTAACTCCCAGGTTTAGGAGTTCAGGTGATAACTGGCTCATCCTTTTGGCTGCTCAAAAGTGTCCCCTTACTTCATTGTACCTTCTAATTCCTCCCAAAAAAGTAAGTATTATCTAAACCGTCTTCATTCAAGTCCCTTTTACCTTAACCTCCAGTGCATGATGTAAAAGGCCACATCGCAAGCTTGTAGCTCTTAATTAATTTCACGTAAACTATCAGCAAGCATACCTATCATTATCAGTTTCCACGACATAATTATCTTATCCGGGACGAATGAACCAAAAGCCTTTATGCCTTGTACAACAGTAATTCCAGACGTTCCAAGTACAGATGACTTTCCAAAAGAATCTCTTTCCAAAGAGCTCCTACAACTTTCCCATCTAGCAACTTCCTTCAAAATTCAGTACATTTGTAATAGAGCATGAGTTGATGAGAAACATCCCCGCAAAGAACGTATACAACAAAGAAGCATCCGAAAAACAACTTGACAGTATCCACTGAAGTGTCATAATCAGGACCTGACACCGACACCAGCCCTACCACTAAAGAAATTAAAAACACAAAAAAAAAAAATTTTTTAAAATTTGGTGGAGTATGTACCAACATATTAAGTGCATGTAAGACTGTCAGAAGAACAATTTGTTAAGTACCCATGCCACGTGAAGCAAAGTTATGTGCTGTGTGAACATAGCATACCTTTTATAGCACTGAAGTCTGAGATGAAATCTACAAGTCTTACAGAGGCTTTCACAATCGCACTTAATGGAGACATTCAACAACGGCCAATGATAGTGTTGATATATGGAATCAGGTTATGTTTGAGCCAATGCATTTTCAAGTATGCTGCTAACCTCATCCTGCGGACCAAAATTTTCGCTCATATATGCTCTTACTTCTGATTCCTCTTTTACAACAGAACCAACCAGTAATTGATGAGTTTCAGTACTAGGAATCCAACCCTTCCCCAACATTACATCTAGCAAGCGACCAGCTGCACTCCTATATCCTTCTTTCAAAAGGCCCCTGATGAGCATGTTATAGGTACTGGAACCAAGAATATTAGAACAAGGGATAAGCTGATCCATAGCACTCAAAATCATGTGTATTTGAGAATGCTTGTCTAAACAAGACAGTGCAGTAGTTAGTGTTTCGGAGTTGGGTAATAAACCCTTGCTGAGCATCACATTGAAAAACCGAGCACAATGGTCTGGATTATCAGCTAGACTCATACTTTCTATGAGGATAAAATAAGTTTCTTCCTCAACAGGACAACCATCTACAATCATTCGTGATAATACCACTAAAAGGTCATCTGCCTTTTCTAACTTGGATAAAACTCGCATTATGCTGTAGTAAGCTACAGACGAGTACGATGTACCAGAACAATGAGCAAGAGATAGAAACCTGATTGCACTCTCGACTTCTCTTATTGCACAAAGCCCCTTAATGAACAAATCAAAAGAGGTTGACTGCAAAGCTACTTGCTTTCCTGACATATAACAATAAACTTCAGCAGCCTCTTGAATCTTTTCATTATAAGAAAGGCATCTAACAAGTTCAGCATAGGATACAGAATCCAAAACATCACACTTCTGCTGGACCTGATTGAACAACAGTATAGCATCATCAAGTTCATCCTGCTTGCATCTGCCAATGATAAGAGCGGAGTAAGTGATAGAGTCAGGAAGAAATGAAAAAACAATCATTCTACAAAGAACTTCCAAGGCTTTCTTGATATCGCCAATCTCACATAGGCACCGAATATAGAAATTCCAAGACAAGCTATCAGTTAAACTCCTCTCAAACATATCATCAAACAGATCTTTTGCTGCCGCAAGATTACCATAACTGCAATAAGCTCCAAGAAGTGCATTGTAAGGACAAGTTATATCAACATCATTATCTACTAAAAACTTCTTTGCTTCACTAAATTTACATAATGTACAAAATCCCTTCACAATATCCACATAGAGATCATCCTCTGGAGTTATTCCGCTGCCCACCATCTCTTCAAAAAGGTTGACAGCTTCATCCACATAAAGATTCTGGCATAAACATATTATCATAGCTCCATAAGTTGAAGAATCTGGAGAAATTTTTGAAGCTTTCATCTTCACAAGTAACATCATCCCTGCCTCACATTTATTAATCTGGCAAAGCAGCGGTACTATCCGAGTGTAAAAGCTCAAATCCACCTCA